TGGGACCAAGTTGGAAGAACCCTAGTAGTGAGACTCCTTCCTAGGCCAACCTGTGACAACACTGGTCACAGTACCTTCCAGGCTTGTCTGCCAGCCCCGGAGTCGTTTCTGAGGAGCATCTTGGTGGAGTCCATATAATACAGTGATCAGGAGACAGCTAAGTCTGCAGATGCATGCAGAGATTAGAGGAAACCAGCTGGGTAACAGTCCTTTTTGAGGGTGGGGAAAAAACTTGTTGCTGTTGTTTTATTTTGTTTAAGACAGGGTCTCTCTGTGGAGCCTTGGCTGGCCTGGAACTCACTATGAAGCTTAGAGTGCCTCAGACTCAGAGATCTTCCTGCCTCTGCCTCTCTAGTGCTGATGTCTGAAGGTTAACACCAGGGTATTCGGCCAATCGGGTTTTTTGTTTGTTTGTTTTTTGTTTTTTTAACTTTTAACTTTATTTGCAGTGCTGGAAATTGAGCCCTGGGCCTTGAACATGCTGGACAAGTGCTTTAACACCGAGTCACTGACCTAGCCCCAATCATCTTTTTTTTTTTTTTTCTTTTCTCTGTCTCTCTCTTTTTTTTTTTTTTTAATAAAGACCAGGGTCTATGTTGCCCAAGCTAGCCTTGAACTTACTATTTAGAATGTGCCTGTCTTGGCCTCCTGAATGCTGGAATTATAGGCATGAGCCAGTGTGCCTGTCTTTTGTTAATTTGTTTGGGTTTCATATTTAAAATAAGGTCTTGCTGTGTAATTCTGGCTGGCCATGTCCTCTCCTGGACAGGCCTCAAACCTGCTGTAATATGCCTGCCTCTGCCTCCTAACACAGGTGTGGAAATACTGCTGCTGGGAATGCGGGTGTTTACACCATGCTTGTAGTATATAACCATGTATCTTCCAAATCCAAACTTGTTTAGATTTGATGATTTGTCCATTTTTGTCACTTAACACCTAGTTTGGGGAGGAGAAGATGCTTCACTTTGTTAAGTGGCTCCCTGTCTCCCTTTCCACAGCCTGGTCATCTGAGTTCTTCCAGGGCCTGTCTTTATATGTGTGGGAAGAAAGATCAGAGGCTCATGGGATAGAAGCAAAGCCACATAGATCTGCCTCAGAGAAAGAAAAGGAAGTTGGTCTCTTCAAATTGGAATTGGATTAGTGACAGACTCGAACAGCCGGTTCAGTCAAGAGAGAACTTAATTCCTCCTGTATTATTCACAGGGCTGATTCTAATCAGATGTGAAGAGACAGCTGCAAGAGAGCAGCAGGTCAGCCTAGTGCCTAGTGAGGAGGCTGTGTGTTCTTTTAGTCATCTTTAGGGAGCCGGCAAGAGCATATTGGGTTGGGCACTTTGAGCAGCTTCCAGCCTTCCCGAAGGAGCGGGGCTTGATTGTCCAGATGCCTGTGGTTGACCTTGTCTGCATCCAGGGTGAGTTTTAAAGGACTCTGCATGGCAGAGTGGTCACTGGTCAGCACGAGCTCAGCTAGCTTGTTCCCAGAAAGATTCAGGGAGGGCACCAGACCCAGGCAAGCCCCAGAGTGACCCAGCAAGAGCACAGGGCCTTGTGACATATCCACATCCTGAGCACCTCATCCTCATTGCCTGATGAAATATAGGGCTCTCCTTGCCCAGACAGTCTCCCAGGTCTCTTTGTGGTCTGAGCAGAGCCTGCCCCACATTCAAGGGGTCTGCCTCTACAGCCAAAGGGAGCATATTGAATCTGTAGCTGGCATTCTGTAGCCACATTAGAGGGGTGCATCCCCACAGCCAAAATACATGTGAAGACTATATCTGGAGTTCTGTGCCCCATGCTTAAGGGATCCATAGCCAGGGACTGTATGAACTTTATGGCTGGGATTCTGCTGGTGGCTGGGACTTGGGCGGGTTCAGTCTCAGCTCGGTGTGACACAATATAAGGTGCCTGTGAGAGGAAATGAGGTGGGAATCTTTTGTTTTCTGTTTGGTTGCTTGGTTTTTTTGAGGCAGGGTTTCTCTGTGTGGCTGTGGCTGTCCCAAAACTCACTCTGTAGACCAGGCTGGCCTCAAACTCAGAGATCTATCTGCCTCTGCTGAGATTAAAGGCGTGTGCCACCACAGCCCAACTGAAGCTGGAATCTCAGTGGAATCATCTCCGAGGAACTCCTGGGTCTTACAAGCAGAGGTGCTGCGCTGTGCATAGAGGTCTAGTGCTATCGCTGATGGACAAGGCAGCACAAGTGCTGCTGAGGGCTCACGGACCTTTGGGTCTGTCTCAGAAGAAGCTCAGGAAGGTTGTCAGCTGGCAATATGAAGGCTCTCTGCTCCACGTCCTCTGAGCCCTTCCTTTCTTGCCACCGCCTGCTCCAGCCTTCTGGGTGGATCTTTGTCTCTGTCCGAGACAGCAGGTGGCAGAGGACCCACAGGTTATCTTGCCCACAGGGTGCCTAGCCAGGAGCACAGTCAACAGAAACAGGGGGCAGTGCCCCAAAACAAGGGCCTCTGTGCTCTGGCATGCCACCTTCATGGGGCTCACTGGGTACCTGAGGCACGAGGCTTGGCTTCTGCCGGAATCCCCTCGAATCACTCACTGTCTTCCTCCCTCCTGCATGAGCTCTGCCCTCGGGTCCTGCCAGAAGGAGGCATTTGGTGTTTTAAGATAAAGGCTGCTGCTGAGGGAACAGTCAGAGGTGGCCACTGGAAGCGCTCCAGCAGTGGGAAGTGAGCACACGCAAGACATTCCTCAGACTTGCAGTTTCCTGGTGGAATTCGAAGTGCCAGGAGCTGTATGGTAAGGGTAGAAGGTAGGGTAGTATCTGCAAGCCTCCCTTTGAGCTGGGCAGCGACCACAGGAGGCTGTCAGCCACCCGATACAGTGGTTTTATCAGCCTTGAAGACCCCGAAACACCACGCTGCTGCGTGATATTGCAGTATTGGCTGTGCTCTCAGCCTGTACTTCCCTCTGCACTGAGGACAGACCCCTTCTGGTGAGAGAAGAGGTCATCTTACCCTGCAGAGCAGCCCTGATGGATTCTGGTAGGAGGATCTTTCTGCAGAGAGCTTTGTATCCTAACCAGTACATGCTTGAGTACCTGGAGACGGGTGTTGCCAGAACCCTCCCCAAGCACCTTGAGGGGACAGCCAGCAGGCTTCCGTAGTGGATCCAGGAATTCTTGGAGCCAACATTGTGGAAATAGGCAGGAGACTTTCAGAGGTCCCCACCGCCTGGGCGTCCTGCCTGGAGAAGTAGCCAGGCCTCTCAGGGCAGTGTGTGTCCTGGCTGAGAGGCTGGCACTGTACATGGCCACACTTCTGCCTGAGTCTTACCCTAATCAGGGCTCTGCTCGGCTCAGCTTCCCCTAGAAGGGGTTTGAGGCCACAGTTAGGAATGATGGGGTCCCAGCATGAGCCAGGTGGGTGCTAAGCATTTCTATGCCTCCCTATGAGAGAGTGCTGCATTGCCCTATGTCACAGTTGGTTTCAGTGACCTGGTTACTGCACCAGATAGATTCTTGGGTGCTGCTGTGCTTTCATTCCACTGAAAGCTGTGGGTATGTCCTGTTCCTGCCTGAGGCCCCTTATCCCAAGAAACCCCCTAAAGTTGTCCCAGAACTGTAGGGACACCTTTTGATTCAAACCCTTCCTGAAGAGGATTTTTGTCCTAGCTCTCTGGCACCATCTTCTCCTTTGCTATTCTGATCCCCATTATCATGGGGCACACCCCCACTGACCCCTCTCTGCTGGCACTGCAGGAGAAACCCAGCCAAATGCAGTTCCCATCTGGAGGGTGTTTGCCTCAGCAAAGGAAAGCGCTCTCCATTCCTGGCAGAACTGGGCTTCCACAGAGCTTCTGGAATTGGTTCCGCTGAAGAAAACAGCTCAGATGCCTCCTTGCATTCAGCTTGTTAGTCGGGAACTTCAAGGCCAAAAGATTTGGCAGGATTTACAGAGTCGGCTCTCAAGCTGTCTCATTCTGAGCACACTAATGCTGCCTGTCTTTTGATGGTGAAGTGGGTTCACAGTCTCCCTCTCCTGCCCTTTGTAGAGCTTTAGTGAGTACTGCAGTCCTCTTGGAAGGACCAGACCAGCTAGCCTTTCCAATGGCTTACCTCCAGAAGAGTGAGGTTCAGAAATATCAAGGGTGTTTCCTGAGGCCACACAGTAAGCCAGAATGAAAACAGCCTTCTTGTCTCCCATTTAGTTACAGTTGTGGCCCATATCTCAGTAGATGCGCTCAATAAACATAATCTGGGCTCCCGTCAGGGCTGAGCACTAAGGTAGACGTTTGGGGGAACTACGCTGGGCAGTGTAGTTGCTGACACACACTCCTGTGGGGAGCCCTGCGGCTGCATTGAGAACATGGAATCTTGTCCCAAGGGCTGCATTTCAGCAACAGCTTGGAATAGACGCCTACGCCAGATGCTTCCGTCTGGAGACAGCCTCAGAGTCCTATCTGCCTCTGCTCCCCTTCTCCTTTCTCCCAGCCCAGACCTTGGGGTATCCCCTCAGGAGGTGTTGGAGTGGCCTGTCCTGCACAGAAGGAAAGTGTTGTCTCTCAGCTTCTGGGCTATGGACAAGTCTATGTTGGAGTCCCCCTGAGCCAGGAGCAGAGAGAACAGATTTCTCATCTGACACAGGCCCTCTTTGCCTGAGGCCATGCTGCCTTGTCCCAGGTGTCAGAACTGAGAGGCTTGCAGTGCCAAACCTGGGCCTCAGCCCAGAGAGGCTGGGGCACTACACAGAGCCCAAGACGGGAGTTGGCGTTTCAGAGCCAGAAGAGCCGTGAGTCACAAAGGAGACGCCTCCAGGAAAAGGTTATATGAGAGACATGTTCCCATGAGATGTGTCTGTCCACCAGCCGTCCTTCCTGGCATGTCATTTGTCACTCTGCATTTGAGTCCTGGGATAGAGCTGTACCCTTATCTGGGCTTGACCATCAGTATCAATATCAGTATCAGTATCAGCTCCAGGCTGCCCTCGAGGTCATTCTCTGCGGCAAGGTGACCCAGCGCCCCTCAGCTCCTTCTCTTCTTTCTTACAGCTCACTCTGCAGAGCGCCAAGTCCCGAGTGGCCTTCTTTGAAGAACTCTAGTAGGTGACCCGGCCACCTTAGGATTTGCCACCTGCTGCTCCTGACACCAACAGGACGGGTCTGACTCCACAGGAACCATCAACAGGGACTCACTTGTTTTGAGAACTCTGAGCAGAAGGCGCAGTCTCCCTTGTGTCCAGTTGTTTTTGACCTCTGACCCTGTAGAGATCGGTCAAGGTGTTCTAGTTCTCCTCTCTGTCTCTCTAGTTCTCTCTCTCCCCCTCCCTTTCTCCCTCTCTCTTTCCCCATCTCCCTGTCTCCCCTCTCTATCTCCCCCTCCTTTCTCTCCAGATTTGTTATACATGAGATACCATTCTTCCTGCGTCCTAGGCACTGTGGTGTAGCGTTCCTATCCCTGCTGCTGACTCCAGACTCTGGTTCAGGAAGCAGCCATAGGAGTCCAGTGTAGAGGCTGCCTGAAATCTACGCTGCTGGTGCTATCCGGTCCCCCACTGGGTTTCTGGGATGGGCCTCTCCTCCACAGTAAGGGCCTGTCACAGTGCAGGAGCATGGCCTGGCTGAGCTCAGAACCGGCAGTGATGGTCCTTAGCCAGGCTCCCCCGAGGCAGTGCATCTGATTGGGAGGAAGCAGGCAGGGCAGCTGTGGCAGGGCAGAGACGTGAGATAGAAGCTGTGGTGAGAGACTGGTGGCTAGCTGATGGGCTGGGACACAAGTGGAACCCATTCAGGGACCTGACTGTACTGTGTGTACCTGACTCCCTTTAGTCTTAGTCATCTGCCTGTGGTGGGCCAAGGGCTTCCTGGTCACATTCCCATGAGTGCCTGGGAATCCCTCATTGGTTCCCATTCAGCACATGGAACTCCGGAGCCCTACTGCCCATCCTATCATACTCTTCATGCCTAGGCCTCATTGTCCTTGTCTTCCCTGAGGGCCTACCCAGCAGTGTCCCTTTGGTCCCTCCTTTCCTGAGCCTGGAATAGGTAGACACTCAGCAGTCACACGGGCTAACCTTTACTATGGCTCGTCTCCATGCTGAGCAGCATGTACTCACACACGCCATGGTTGGATCGACATTCTTTGTAGCTGGTGTCACTACTAAGGCCAGTCAGGCCCCTTTAGGTTCTAATAGCAGATGATATATGCCTCAGTCCACAACAAAAAGTATAACTGAAGAAAGCTAGCTGAGTTGTGGGGCTGAGAGCAGTGTTATCCTGCACAGTAGTTTGGTTTTGAGAAACTGAGGCACGCTTCCTTGTTCCCGCTGGCTGGCTGCCCGTTAGCCCATTTTGCCTTAGGCAGCCACCTCTGAGTGTTACCCCAGCCTCTTTGGGCACCTAGGACTCTAGTCTGGGACCTAAGGCTGAGGAAAAGTCCTCTGAACTTGACACCCAGCATTTGCCAAGTCTGCCATGGCTCTGAAGTTGAGCTGTCTTCTCAGGCCTAAAACTCTCCCTTGAGTTTCTTCCAGGACTGACTTTCTTCCTCTCTGTAAACTTAATCTGACAGTGGCTGTGGGCCATAGGACCATGATGCTGGTTCATAAAAATTGTGCCAGGCCTTGTTTTTAAATGTAACTATTCTTTTTATCTCAAATTTGGGAAATGCCAAGCTACATAACCACGTGGGAGCCCTGGTATTTGAGCAGTGGAAGTGTAACCATTGCCTGGAAGTTGGAGCCCAGAACCCAGTCAGAAGTACCTCAGGTCCCCTGGAGTGAGGGTGTGGGGACTTTATGTCTCCAGCCCCAAAGAAGGTTGAGAGCAATGCCCACTTTGAGCCTGTGGCTGAGCGCTTTCTGGTAAACAATTTTAGTCAAGGAAGGACATGTCTGAAGTCCAAGGGAAGTGGGCTCCAACCCTGGCTGTTTCACGTCTAGCTTCAGTGGCTCTTTGGTAGGGGTCCATGATACTAAAACAGTAAGTCACTCTCGGTGCAGGACACTGAAGTCTTGCTGGTCACACACCCTGACTGAGGCCATACCTCAGCCGCAGCCGCACTGTGGCCTGAGGTCACTGCCAAGGCCTCGCCAGGCAGTACCCATGGGCTTACATAACACTACTTCAGTTACTGCTTCATCATCCCTTAGACAGGTTTCTCTTTGCTCCCTCACTCCCAAAAAGCCCACAGCCTGACAACCAGCAACAGTGACTTAACTGTTCTTGCCAACAGGGCCAGAGCCTCTCCCAGGTGCCTCAAGGCCATGCCAGCGCCCATGGGCTTCCATTCCCCCTTGTCAAGCAGCTCTGCCTGTGAGAACATGACGCTGCTTTCTGTGGGGTGTGGGGGGTGATTATAATTTAAGTGATTGTTTTAATAAAAACTATAAGCTGCGATAGTCTGTCATGTGGTGTCTTCCTTTTCTCTTTCCTAGCTTTCTTTTTATTCTCTCTCATATATATATATATGTTGTTTAACCTGTGTGTGTATATGAGCACTATGTGCATGCCTGTTGCCCACAGAAGTCAGAAGACATTGGATCCCCTGGAACTGGAGTTCCAGGTGGCTGTGTGTCACCATGTGGTTGCTGGGAACTGATCCCGGGTCCTCTGAAGAGCAAGTGCTCTTCTGGTCCGCATACATGCATGCAGGCAGGATCCTCGTGCACAAATGAATTAAAATATTCCATGGCATGCAGCTACATAGCTCTCGCTGCCTGAGGCCTGCCTGTCTCCAAAACAAACTGAGTAAGTCATGCGTGGCCATGATGGGCATCAGCTCACATCCAGGACAGTGGTTCCATAAGGCTGTGTAGCCTAGTGACTGGCGGTCTGTGAGTGCACTGTGAGAGACCATGAAATCACCTAACAGTGGCGTCCAGAATCTGTCCGCATCGGTGACGCATGTCTGGATGCATGCTTCCCCGGGGTCTCAGTTAAATACCATTTATGTATTTTGAAATGATGTTAGAATTATAAACATTTGCGCAATGTTCTGTTAGCTTTGAATATAGAGCCCATAACTGATTAGCCCACACTGCTTGGGTGTTTGATATTTTCCTTTATTTTGAGGAGGTGGTTTTTGTTTTTCAAGACGGTGCAGCCCTAGCTGGCCTCAAACTCACAGAGATTCTCCTGCCTCTGCCTCCTGAGTACTGGGATTAAAGCTGTGTGCCACTATGCAAAACTTTTTTTATGGTTGGTTGGGGGGGCGGGTAATGAGCTACACAGAATCTCACTACACGGCTGAAGATGAGCTCGAACTTCCGATCGTCCTGTTTGTGCCTCCACAACCACCGGTTTCCCGAGTGCTGCGGCTGCAGATCCACAGCGCCACGCGTGGTTTGTGTGACGCTGGGAGTCGTTCCCAGGGCTTCAGTCATGCTCTGACACCAATGGCGCAATCTCCCCGGTGCTCCATCTGTATAGATGAATTTAAATACAAGGTGACAACTAGTGACTAGTTTTAGCAACCAGAAGTAGCCTGATTTCCTGGACAGTCAAAGCAAGGAAACCGCTCTGTGTCAACTGGTCGTTTTAAGCTGTAGAAGTCAGTATTTTTACCTGACTTTGAAAAGATATCCCAATAGCCCAAAGTGCCCACTGACATGGCCTAACATCTCCATGAAGTAGAGCGGGAACTGACAGTATTGCTTGGCATTTCCAGTGTTTTGAAACACTATGTAGCCCAGGCTGGCCCCATCTCCCTGTTTTTAGTGTTGGGTGACAGGATTTATTACTACTACCTGTCATGCTCTGCCTGCCATCTTGGTATGGAACGGATCAGCTGTGTTCTACTGGTTTTAGTTCCGGCTTGTGATGCCTTTTGGACATTGGTGCTTCGTGGTGGCATTTGCATCCCAGTGCCTTGGTGTCCACTGCTGTCCTTGTGGCCTCCCTGCCAGCCCTCTCCCCCCTCTGCCTCGGGTTTCTTGAGTAGGGAGCGCCTGGCAACTGTCCCCCGGGACCGAGCCCCAGAAGCCTTCGTGGGAGGTTGAGATCAGGAGTCTCCCACCCACATGTATGGAGAGCCGGGAGCCCAAGTCTAGAAGAGGAGAAGGTGCTGGCAGACAACGGCTGCAGCGCTGTCTGAGAAAGTCACTGCCTTCACCTCTGCCTCCCTGCAGACAGCCCAGACATCCTCTCCAGCGAGAGGGCTCTCCCCCGCCCCTCCCTGCCGAGTGGGGCTCCCTGGCAGCCTGTCATTACTGCATTATGGCAGGATCCCGAGGCTGCAGTCCCAGCCCTGAAGGGAGAAAACTCCTTCAGCCATCAGCGTAGTGGCAGGGTAGTGCGAGCAAATTATGGGACCGTTTATCAGCACAGCAAGGTCTCTATCTGACTCAGAGAGGACCCCCCGCTGCTCCTCTCCTGTTTCCACTGGATGCCCATTTCTCACTGGAGTGGTAACCCCAGAATAGCACCTGGCCTGCCGCTGCTGGGTAGACTTCAGGGCTGCCTGAGAACTCTGAGGTGAGAGCCACAAAAACCCAGAGACCCAGCCTTCACTTATCAGCTCTGCCCTCAGCCCAGGGCAGGGTCCTCTGTCACATCTGTAAAAGTGGTTGACAGTGATACCTCTAGGAGCCTTGGGAAGATGAGTGGAAATGGAAAGTACTCCAGAGCCACTGAGAGGGTTCAGTGGGTAAAGACACTTGCTGTTAAATTCAGTCTCCGAACCCACGAAGTGGTGGAGGGAGAGAACCCACTACCACGGATTTTGCTCTGTACCCAAGCACCACAGCACACGTGTGCCATTCCCCAGAAGATGTGTAATACATGTTAAATATTCCAAAACAACAAAAAAGATGTAAGTATTCCAGTTTCTCAGAAAAATGTTGACAGTAATGGCATGAAGAAACAATGATTTTGTTCTTAAAACAGGCTCTCCCAGTGTCCCACAGTGGCCTTAAATTCGAGAAAAATCCTCCTACCTCACCTCACATGTGCTGGAGAGCAGTTATTTGCCATCATTGGCATCTAGAATCTTTTTTCTTCCTCCTCCTCCTCCTCCTCCTCCTCCTCTTCCTCCTCTTCTTCTTCTTCTTCTTCTCCTTCTTTTCTTCTGAGACAGGGGTTTCTCTGTGTAGCCCTGGTTGTCCTGGCCTAACTTTGTTCACCAGGCTGGCCTTGAACTCAAAGAGATCCACCTATTCCTGCCTCCTGAATGCTAGGATTAAAGGTATGTGCCACTGCCCCCAGGCTGGAGTCTTATTTTATCACCAGCCTCCGGGGTTCTGGGGATGAGTCTTGTCAGAAGGGCTTGGCAGAAGAAGCCCTTGGCAGAAGGGCTCAAACCCTCCTTGACCCCCAACGCAACAAGCCTGGGGTCCCATACCTGCTCAGCCACTTACTATCCATTCCAACCTAGGCAAGTGGTTTCACGTTTTGGCGCTATGAACTGGACTTTTGAAGGGTCTGTGGGCATTAATGATGCCTAGAGGCTCTGAGCAGGATCTAGACATGTGCTCACTCCAAGGTGCCAGCTTTCTCTGAAAGGTGCCCTCTGGAGGGCTGAGACAGGAGCAAACAGAGGAAAGAGCCAGGGAGAGCCAGAGGCAGCAGGCCTACCCACAGCCCCATATGGGCCCCATCCCACCCCCTGCACCCAGAGTTTAATGACCTTGCATCTGCCTGTTTGCCCTCGATGTTTGCCCAGTGCCAGCTGCAGAGCCCATGAGATGATAGATAGCCCAGCTCAGGGCTGCCCGGGAAGGATGTTACTGTGCCACATTAATGCTCTCCACTTGGGTCAATAATTTACTGGAGATTCAGGACAGGAGAGGCTCTGGATGGACTGTGCTTGGCTCTGCATATGGAGCTCTTGCCCCTGTCCATGGCACCTAGGTCGAGAGAATCATGCAGGAGACACTGGAGAGAGGTGGCAGTGACCTAATTTTCTCTTATCAGGCATAAGGAGATGGTCCCCACAGAGCCTTGCCCATTTCCAATATAAATAATGTAATTCTGCCCCTCCCCCCCCCATTGGGGAGGAAGGGGCAGCCTTTGATCTGAAGGAATTAAGTCAGTAAACAAAAGCAGAGGCTGCGGAGGTGTCTTATGACAGGTACCTGCTGTGCCATTCACCCTGAGAGACTAGAGTTAAATTCTAACCGACACTGGGTCAGCACAGCTTGAGTGTCTCCAGGTCTCTCTTTATCCCCAGCTTAGTCCAGCTGACACCCATCTGGGACTCCGACACCAAACTATGGGAGCTGAGCATCTAATGGGGCCACTCCACCCTTTCCTTGCCTGAGGTCCTGAGCGAGTGAGCAGTTTTCAGTGGAGAGTGGCCATCTGGGAAGCCTGCAGGAAAAGCCCGAATGCTCTGGGGGTGTGCTGCTTAGTTCAGACCCGAGGCCACAGAAGGTCCGAGGGCCAGGAGAAAAGGCTGTTGAGAAGGCCCCCGGGCGCAGCCTCGGGCGGCAGGTTTCCAGCTCTCTGCTGTAGCTGGACAGCTTCAAAGTCTTTTCTCCTCTCAGGGCTCCTGAGCATTGACTGTGTGTCAAGTTTGCAAGAACTCTGGGATCCCCTAAGTTTCAGTTTCACACACTGGTTCTTCTAGGTGCTGCCAAAAGTGTCACCATTTGGGGAACTAAAAGAAGGAACAGGATGGACTAGACCCAGCCAGTTTGGCCTGTGTTAAGAATACCCACCTCTAGCCGGGCACGGTGGTGCACGCCTGTGATCCCAGCACTCGGGGGGAGCCAGAGGCAGGTGGATCTCTGTGAGTTTGAGCCAGCCTGGTCAATCGAATCCAGGACAGCCAGGGCTACACAGAGAAACCCTGTCTTGAAAATAAACACAAAACAAGAAGGAGGAGGAGAAGGAAGAAGAGGAGAAGGAGGAAAGAAAGAGAGAACGAGAAAAAAGAATATCTGCTTTAATCTATTCTCTCTCATAGCCCTGCACTGCAGTTTGGGTAGGGGCTTTACAGGCCCCCAGATCACTGGAGGCCCCAAGACAGAAAGTTGGCATGGCCACTCCAGACTTTCCCAGTACTCTGCCTCTCAAGTTCCAGCTCCTGTCAAGTCAGGATAGAGGATGGGGGTGGCATGAGCCAGTCCTCAGCCTGGCTGGCTGTGACAGTTGCTCTGCTTTGAAATCCACAGGGGACCACGCCTGATCCCTGCTCTCCTCTCTCCTCCCAGCCTTCAGCTCCCAGGCTGAGATCCCCAGTTCCCTAGGCTGAATCTATTAAGTCCTTCATATTAACCAGCGATGGGGGAAACAACCCTCTTTCATCTTAAGCGAATGAATTTGCATTAACACCTGGGGAGTTCTGTTTGCCTTGAGAAAGCCCATTGCTATTCTGGGCTGCACAGGCAGCAAGGAGTTAGCTGCAGCATTCTATTCTTTTGTTAATACAGCTTTTCTCTCCTCCCTCCCCTTCTC